TATATTGTTTTATTCTTTTATAAAGATCTTAGTTGTCCTTTAACAAGACAACAGAGGACAAGTATAGAAAATAGAAGAAACCTGGCATCCTTAATTTTTGATGTTGGTCTAATTGTTATCCTGATAGTTATAAAGTTGTTTTATTTGTTTGTTGTTTAGCAAAAAGATATACAGTGAGCTATATGTACTGTGCACACTGCTGTCTTTCTCAACAAGATCATCTCTTACACACTGAATGGTCCCTCTACTCACAAGTCTTCTGTCAATCTGTTCTCAACTTAATACACCCCATATAAGTGCCTTTACCACACTGCTTAAATCCATTCTTCCTCTCTTTGGTCTCCTGTGCCCTATCCCACAGCCCTAGCTGTTTATGTCTTCAGTCAAGACTAGTACCATCATTTTCTGTAAGCCTGCCCTCCCTCCTTCCTTATGTCCTTACTCTGATTCAAGACACCTCTTGCAAGATCCTGTTGGTGGCCCCTCATTTGCATGTCCAACGTTGGTTTTTGTTACTCCATCTTCTCTTATCCAAACCTCCCTCCTTCCCAACATCCCATCCAATCCAACTTCACACATCACTCTTTCATCAGAATGTGACATCCCTTCATGTTTAAGATTTGTCCAGTCCATTGCTCTTTGAGTTGTACCATCCAGTCATGTAACTTTCTTTTTTTCTCACTCTTATCACTCTTCTTCCTCTTCTGTATACTAAAGTACCTGATGTACTTATTGCTGTTGGTCTCTCCATCACCATTTCCACCCTGACTGACCTACTTTATAGCATATTACCTCCTCTTTCATGTTTGTTCTATTGTGGCTTGTCTGTTTCTTCCATCATGGGCTATTGGGCAGCATTGATGCAGGATAATTTCTTCATCACTCTCTTCTGTTCCTTCCTTATCCACAGACTCCCATCACCCTCCTCATTTGCTGATTAGAATCTCAGTGTGGTTCTCCATGCTCTTACCTAAGACCCTATCAAACCTTTAGCAACTTGTTTGTTACATCTCTCCTTGGACACACATGTCCTGCTACCACTTGCTTGTGGTCACTGTCATTTAGATGTCTTTTTTTTTTATATAGAGTTCTCTCAAATTTTCTTAAATTACACTCACCACCTCCTTTTATTTTGATTAGTCTTTTCTTCCCTAATCTTCCATAGAAAGGATCAGTGGTCACACCTTTTCCCCCATATCCCTTCTCTTTATACCTCTTCTATATGTTAATTCTGTACCAGATAGACTCCTATGTCATATCTGGGCCATTCATTGTTTTTGTCATGCTCCTCTTCCTTTTGGGATTCCAATCACTACTCTTTCATTCTGTGGGATCTCTCTCCACTTGAGTTCTCTCTTTCCACCCTTACAGGATGGCCTACTGCCTACTCATCCATCTGATATACACTATCAGATTCATCACCTCCCACATTTTTTGGCTACTCTTTTTCACCAACTTTTGATGCTATTCTCCAGGCTGATTTGTGTCTTACCCCACACCTTTTCATCACTCACTATCTGCTACACCTTACTGTCTCATCTTCATATGGATTTAGATTTCTGCCTATATCTATTCTCTAATCCACCCTCTGTCTTTGGACAGGTGAGTATACAAATTTGTTCTCACCTCAATCACTATATAGCATCCCTCTAGGCTGTTAGTGTTGTCTCCCATGGTATACTTAAGCCACATCAAGCCAGGATAACAAAGTGCTCATACTATCTTCCCTGACTCCAAGTGCCCACTGTAAGATGGGGTGTTCTGCAAAACCATTTGAGGTTTCTTTTTATATGTATCCATGTTACTTTTCATGTCCGATTCAGACTGTACCCATTCCATGGACTATCATGGGAAAAGCCAGTTCCAGAGCAGTGTTTCTGCCAATTTCTCTTGCCAATTTTGCAGTTACCCATTGCACTGTCTCCCATAAAAGACCTTTCCAGGGTGAAGGACTGATGGGGATCTGGGCACATTCTTCGGGTCTCTCTTATACAAATTCTTCCCTCTCATTGAGCGGAGCAGGAGATACCCTTGCCACTTACCATTTCCTAGCTGCTGGGGTGGTGCACATGGAGAATCCTCACCAATTGGAATGTAACTGCTGGGGATAGAACAACTGGGCCCTTTGTAGTGAGAAGTGGAGCTGGAGTGTATTGTGGTCCCCCCCACCACACACACATTTATTACTATGATACCTCACAGTCTTCAAGTGGATCTATGGTACAACTTTTTAAACTGATCATTTTATATATCTTTATCTTACAAATCCTCCTGCTGCATTCAAGTTTGTTTAGTCTGAAAAAAAAACCAAAAAACACCCCACTCCTGCAGCTAGCATGGTCCTTTAACGACTGATAGTAAAGTTGTGGTGAACACTCTCCATACATCAGTGATGTATCTCTCACATACCTTACTCCCACAGGAGGCAAGGGCCTGTAGTGACTGATAGTTTAATAGAGGTTTATATAAGTATCCATACAGACAAGATTCTATACAGTGTTCTCTCATGGTTGGAATGGGACCTGTAGATACTTACAGTAGAAAAGATGAACACAAATACTTATCACTAGTGTCATTTTCCCATAGCTGGTTTTAATCCATCAAATCTAATGGTAGAGGAGGTACGGTCTGAATGAGCCCCAACTTCACTACATATAATGGTTGTCCAACAGATTGTGTGAGATTATTTGGATGACCATATACCTAGTACGCACATCCTTGTGACACAATTATGGCTTTTTTGCCTCAGTTATTCTCCTACACAGGCAAAGATTATACCCTAGATGAGACAAGAAGCAGTCTACCACAGGTGAACCCTTTGACCCCCTGCCATTGAATGTCACAACCCATGGGTTTTTTTCGGGTGTTTTCTGTAGGAACCTCATTTAGGTAATCTTTGCACAAATTCCTCCACCACCCCAATTTGGGATTCTAGTTATTCTATGCGCAGAGGTGAGTATTCATTTCAGAAGTTAACATTTCCCTTATCTGAAAATGTATTTTTGATAGATATTTACCTCCCAACACATTTACACTAATTCTTCCCATTTTTCCAAAGCACATTTTTTCATCAAAGAATGAGGATACATGAGCATGAATGTACAGTTAGTAACTGTACATAGAGTTGTGTTGTGCTCCTTTTGGTGCAAAGTTCTGCTGCCAATTCACATGAGATTAGGTGGGAGTTTTTACAAGGCTAGTGGCTTGCAAATGTCTTTGGCAGATTACATGAAATCAAGAGGAAAAAGCTTTTCTGTGTGAGGAGATGAGTGCATAGATCTGAACTTTAAATTAGTGAATAATATGGCTAATATTGTATATTTATGAAACATCCTGAAATGTCATTCAATTTAAGAATAATGTAGCTAACTTTATATTTTGATTTGTAGTAGGAGTTTGCAGTATCATAAAATAAAATTTTATATTGATTAGAATGTACTGATTCATCAGCATTTAGCATTTTTGGCTGTAAATAGCTCCTGAGATTTGGCCAGTTTAGGAGAGTTAGGTTAGTCTTAAATCCATATTCTGAGCTAACAATGCAAAATAATCTTCATAATTGTAAGCTATGAAATAATAAAAAATGGTATATTTACATTGGTTAACCACTTTATTTAGATCTATGTACCTTTCAGACTTGGGCCTGACCTAAGCTGCAAATGCAAATAGATTGATCACATGGTAGTTGGTCCCTTCAGCTGTAAATGACTAGGACAAGTACATTTGTAGTCAATCTAACAGATATGGGAGAAAGGCAAAGATACTGCAGCATTCAAAAGAGGCAATCTAGCAGGTGTCGCAGTAGCCAAGACACTTTTGTTGTTAGGCTGCTCCAAGATATCTGCCATTCAAGTTTATTAGCAGTGTGAAAAGGTAATTAAAGTTTTTACTGCATGGGGGAACTTTGGCCACAAACATTTAGTGACTGGAAGAGGAGAAGAGTAATTAGATAGAATGGTTAAATCCACCTGTCATCAAACAATAGACCCATATCCATCTCTAGCCACGCCTTTTTAAGAATGTTGCAACAAACTGAGACTATGGAAGTAGAAGACCATTGTGTAAACCTCTGATTTCAGTTAAAAACAAGAATGAAAAATGCTTTGTGATTTAAGGATTTCAAACATTGGAATTAATGAGGACTGGTGAAAAATGATGTGGTTCAGTGAGTCACGCTTTACTTTTTTTGTGCACAGATGGGAGAAGACAGATCTGGAGAAATCCACATGTATCACTCGATCCCTCTTATATGATCCCAACTATCCAGGTCTCTGGTGGAGTCATGGTTTGGGGCATATTTTTCTGGCATACCCTGGACATCTTTGTCTCTTTAGAAGACAATGAATGACTCAGCTTATTTCAGTGTCATTTTCTTCAAGTGCATCCACTAGTGCTTCATATGTACTCTGGTGGGAATGGCTACTTCCAAGATGATAATGCTCCCATGATAGGATTCAGGCATCTTCCCAGACCACCACAGTTCCAAGGGCTCAATCCAGATGAGTGTCTGTGGGATGAACTTGATAGACTTAGTCACCATCATGATCATCTGCCTACCAAGCTCTATAAGTTACATACGATATTGTCTGAATGTGAAAAAAAATATCCTAGGATACCTTCCAGCACTGGATTTTATGCTATGCTGTGCCATGGCTATTTTTCAGGCAGATAGTTGCCCCACCCATTATTGGGTATAGGTCCAAATAAAGTGGTTAACCAATACTGTTAATAAAACGAAGTTAAAGAAAGAATATATAATTTTGGATAGTAAAACTGTAGAATATGTTAATTTTGTAATTCTGATATGAGGAGAAAGGAAAAGCTCATTAATAAAGCATTTCTTGGTTTTTATACGTGAACAGTATTTTGCATGTTGTATAAAATTTTGAGTATATGTAGTGTATGTAACATCGTTTTTTTCCATGCTAAACCATCACTACTGGATATTTTGGCTCTGCAAATGTATTTCTTTTCTTTTTTTTTTCTCTATACTTTTCAAGAATTAGGATGAAGAGCTCCAGACAGAGACTTCAGCTAAAGCATCTTGAACCAAAAAATCACTAGAGACTTTGACTTTTTTTCTTTACATTTGTTTTTTCAATGGTGAGACACTACTGATCCATGGCTGAAGGTTTTGAAAAACCCTCTAGTGATTACCAAGTGGATTGGGAAAGATATGGTCTTAGATCTGATTCTGTTGCACCTTCCCAGGCTTCTGCTGTGACTCCGCAAGGGGAGAAGTTGCTTCATGGTGAGATATCTAACCAAAATGAGCTGTTTCATGAAGATCAGGTATGGGTTTTATGCAACCTAAATATTTTATTAGAGCTTCTTAATGTTAAGTATATTTATCTTAAATGATGTACATAGATCCATAAATACATCTAAAGACGGACCTGCAGGTCTAGATCGCTTAGGCATCTCCATCTTTAAGAAGCTTGCAGAATGCAACATGCTGAAGTTAGTGTCATAATATATCAACATAGTAGCAAGGTAATAGGTAGCATTACTAAAATATGGACTGATGGCTTTATCAAATCCTTACCCAAACCCATGAATGATCACTCATCCTTCAAAACATCATTTTCAAGATCCAAGAGGAAGCTATAGCTATATTTCTTGTTTATCAGATTGAATCACTGCTACCCTCATTACTAAGATACGAGTAATTGTTTTAGAAGTTAACATTTTCCTTTCCTGAAAATGTATTTTTGATAGAAACTCACATGGGATTAGAACAATATGTTTCTATTCCACCACAATTAAGTGGTTATTGTGGTGGAAGAGAAACCTGGATCAACACTGCTGAATTTAGAGGAGATAATAAGAAGGATTTTAACTTTTTGCTAAACAAGTGTTCAAAATAGGTGTAAGTGTAATGTGTAAGAGGGATTATAGTTGCACTAACTACTAGAAGGTGCATGATGAATCATGGAAGTCATCAGTCAGACTAGATCACCATCAGTACCATTAAACCTTAAGGATCATACTTTTGTCAGCCTTCTTCAGCATCTGCACCATGGAATCTGCCTTGTCAGTCCAAACATATGTCAACTGTCAGCCCTTGCTGATGACATTCTGATGTGTAATGAAGTCTCTAGCAAAGCTGAAATCAAAAGAGCACTGTAACCATTCCTTAGCAGGGTGAACAAATGGTGCTATGACACAGAAATTATAATAAATCCTGCCAAAACCAGCCACATTAACACCATGATAAACAAAACTACCAAAGGCATCAATACACTCATGGAAACTTGCAGCAGCAAAGAGAGCTGAAAAAAATCACTAGCTTAAGTCCTAACAAAGTTTTATCTGCTCCATCCTGGAATATACAACACTGACGATCAGTTTGAGTATTATGCAGCTAGATAAGATTGAAGAGATACAAAACACCTTTAAGACTGGTCATGGGAGGGGGGATTTAACCACCTTGTCAAAGCCCTGTTACAGCTCTTTAGTCTCAGCAGCATCACAAAGCATCAATAGTACTTAAAAATAAAATTATTCAGTAGAAATTGCAGTGTAAAGACCTTGAATTCCATCACAACTACATGTTAAAACCATCACCTGGATGTATATACCAGGACATGTAGGAGTAAATCTAAATGAATAAACTAACAAGTGCACAAGGGAAGGCCCTGTATCAAATGTAATAACTTTACTAGCACTAGTAAGGTGAAAATGGCAACCATGGAAAGTCTTCATCAATATTCAGAGACACTGAGACTGTTGGATAACAGAGTACCATGTAGTATAGTGAAGAAAAGCTAAGATTGGGGAATCAATAAAACATTATACATCCAGAAGTCACTGGTAACATCATTAAAGGAACTCTCTTCTTTCTATTGTGAGACACCTGGCCTCCAAATGAGGAGTCATAACTTGTTTGTACAACCCCTGGGATTGTTACCTGGTGTTCAACTCAACAGAGAAAAGAGGTTACCCAAAGTTTTTGAAAGATTTTAGCTGTTTAGTTTTTGGTTATTTTGGTAATTTTTAATGTAGAAAGATAAACTGTCAATGTAGTTGATGAAAGAGAAAAGAATAGTAAACTTAACCCATTTCTGATTTTATAATAATTGTTAGTTTGTGCCTAAAGGAAAAAACCTGTACATTTTTGTAAGCTTTATTATCTAGAAATGAATGAGTAGTTGGTTTAAGGGATATATGTTTTGTTTACAAAAAAATAACATTTGCATATATGGTAAAGTTTTAAAGAGATAAAGGATTGTGGATTAATTCAGGACTTACAGCAGAGAATAATTTTCATTTGTTGAGAAAATCCACTGTAAAGCTGAATATTTTATTCTAATTTAAGGTAGTAGTGTAAATACCTTACATTTATTAATATGTAGGAAAATCTAAAAGTTGCTGCTTTGATTGACAGTTCTTTTAAGGCATGCATGGATGACAAAATTGAAATCATGTCTAAAGTATTGTGCACTTCCAATATTCTAAGGTAAACAGACTTAAATATTAATGTACATGAACAAGGCTGAGGATAGGGAAAAAAAATATGTATACCTTTAATTTGCTAAAAATTATATCTGATGATGGTCTTCCCATGTAAGATAGGCATATTAAAATAAAATCAGTATTTAATAATCTAACTTTTTTTGTTTCATAATTTCATGTGTAAATTCATTAAATTTTATTTTTCTCCACATTTGTGTTAATTTAATTTTTGCATCTTTTACACACATAAAGTTTTATATATATAGTTAAACACATTTGGAACATACGAAACATGGTTTAATAGCTTGGATCTTAAATAATCAAAAGATAATATTTATTCTGTTGAACAAACCTACTTTATTTGTAGAGTTCTGGCAGTAAACCATGGTGGAAGGCCAATTTCTTTTTATCTGAACCAGTTCTGTTTGGAACCTGGGATGGAGTCTTCACATCATGTATGATCAACTTGTTTGGTGTGATTGTTTTTCTGAGAACTGGGTGGATTGTTGTAAGTTACTAATTTGCATCTGAGAGATTTATCTTAATCCCATTAAATGTTACCATTATATTTTATAGGCTTTCTGTAGTTGTATTTTTACTCTTTTTTTTTTTCCATATTTTTGTTGGTAAATTTTATGCTAGAAAGAATAATTTTGTAAAATTTAATAGTGTGCACATATATATATATATATATTTATGTGTGTGTGTGTGTGTATATATACATTTATGTAGTAATTCTCAAGTGATAGAATTATTCATAATTGTAGCAATTTTTTCAGCACAAAGGTTTAAAAGCGGCAACCAGTTAAAAACTAGAAACTGCTATAATAGTACTGTTAATTAAACTAGGTTATATGGAGCAGCATTCAAAAACAAAACTGAAGTTGGAAAGGTAATATAGTTGACACAATAATGAGACAAACACTTAAGCTGAAGAAAGAAAAAGATAGAAATTAGAATATTTATTCACAACACAATTTTTTGACTCTTAAGTATTTGATTTCATGTGTATGTTCCACAGGGAAATGCTGGGATTGGGTTTTCTGTGCTGGTTATCATGGTGACTGTGACAATATGTACGATGGCTGTTATGGCAGGAATTGGAATTTGTGAAAGATGTCATGTGGAGAGTGGTGGAGTTCATTTCTTACTGTCTCATGTTCTAGGGGCTCAGATTGGTGGTGCTTTCAGTATTGTGTATTGCTTTGGGCAGGTAAGTCATTGTAATATTTATATGTAACTTGTTCTCTTTAACCCAAAGGTAGGTAAGATTACACAGATGTCTTATTTCTGATGCTTAGTCTAGCTTCTAAGAACAAAATTGGAGTAACTAAAGGTTTATTAAAAGTTGTTAAACTTAATGTATAAATTGCCTTTATTTTAAGAATAATAAACTAATGCCACAATAAAAACTATTTGCAAATATTAAATTAAGTACAGGTTAGAAGAAAATATGTAAACAATTAGCCTTTGAGTTAATGTTTTAGCAAGTATTTAAACTACTTTTTATTAGCATAAAGGTATAGCAAATCTCGTAAATCTTTTTTTCTCAAAGATTAACCATGGTATGAATAATTTAAAATTTCTGGGCAAATGTTTTCCGTATAGCTTAAGCAGCAATTTATATTTTGAACTGGCATGGTTAAGTCACGGCTTCTTCTTATGAATTAATAAGCTCTGTTTTTATATGTAGGATATAGTCATTGACTTTAGTTGTCCTCTCAAATAACTTTCAGATTCTATGTAAGAGCCAATGATGAACAGAGCCTCTATACGAAAGAGAGCTTACTTATTCATCATAATCAAGTTAGTTCAGTATATAAATTGATGCTTAAAAATATAAATAATATTGTTTTTCCAAGTCTCCTTTGTGTACAAACAATTTCCTTGGTTAAAAAATAAACTTTGGTATGTTGTACATACTAAGCATAAAGAGAACTGTTTTCAGAAATTCTTGTTAAAGGAAATGGCAAAAATTGTAAGGGCAAAAATATCTAATACATGTATAATTATAGTTTTGTTATTTTTTGCATGGAATGTTTTAAAGCTGCTTATGCTTCTACTGTTTTTTTGACATTCCTAGGCAGTTAGTTGTGCTCTGCATGTTATGGGGTTTGCTGAATCTATGTCAGAATTACTGAGTATCACAAATCCTTGGCTGGAGAGATCCTTTGCATTTGGACTTATAATCTTGTTGCTTGGTAAGTCAGTTCAAAGTTTTTGTGTGAATATTTTTTATAGACAACATATTATGGATAGCCTTATAATCACTTTGATCTTTAACCATTTGTTTTTCCAGTTCTATTTTAAACTGATTGTTAATAATGATAACGTACAGATTGTGTGATTAAATGTGGTTGGTTTGTAAGAATATAATAACTTATTCTCAAATGTAAAAGAGTTGTATATAGTTTAACTGGCAAGTTGTAATGACCTTAGATTATACTTAAGTAATTCAGAACCAATTGTGATACATGTACTCCATTTTATATCCCATTGTAAACACTTGAAACATCTTTCTCGTCTGTGTTATTTTTTATTTGCTCTAAACTTAAAAATAAAACAAATGGAATCAATGCTAGAAGGTAAAAAAAAATGAGACAGCAAGTACAACTGAAAATCCAATGAAAACCAAAGTATCTGAACCAAAAAAATTAACAGACAATATTATTGGTTGCACATCTTGGCACTGACCCCTTATATTGAAACTGGCTGCCTCTCGGGAGGTGGAGGAGAGTTCCTTTATTGATTTTACCAGTGGTCTACTGGCTGTGTATTGTCATATTGATTCCCATCTTTTGCTTTTTCTAGTAGCTACACCATATGATATTTTATTTTTCAGTCTCATTCCCTCTGAATTTGAGGTAGACCATTCATGGTTACCACCTTTACCTTATTAGTGCCAGTAGAGTCGTGCTGTGTTTGGTAAAAAGGCTTCTCATACTAGTTTGACAGCTTCTTCATAACTTTGCCCTTGCATGGCTTGATACATACATCCAGGTTAATGTCGTACAATGGAGTTTTCTGTGCTTCATGCCATTCATTAGGGGGCCAACCACTCTGAATTTTAATTCAGTAGTGACTGTGAGTAAGTAGCAAATATTATGTTGGTAACAGTGTTTATTAGTAGTTCATTGTTTTCAGCAGTCCAGAGAAAATTTGCTCTTTGACCTTGAATGAAAACACTGCCTTGTTTCATTGTAGAGCATGCTATGAAAATAACTGCTGATGGTATTGGGGTGCACTTTCGCATGTTCTGCAAAAGTAATGGGCATATGACATGGATCATTCTCTATACTTTGCCTCATAGAACAAGAAATCTATTGTGTTGGTTTTAGGTTTTCGGGCTATGTAGAAACTGTTATTATTAAAGTGACTGGAACTCCGCTGTAACCATTTATTGTAGACAGCAGTACTGCAAGTGACTTTGTAATTTCACTTTGTCTTTGACCATCCTCCCATTGTCAAATTGCACAACCTCATTAAAATATGGTTTTTGGGATCTTTTCATTCATGATATGGCTGTTTTGTATTTTGATCACTAACTAGCTACACCTTTATAAATCAAGGTTATTTGAATTATTGGAAGTAGTCTATTGACTTGTTAATGGGCTGTGTTATCAACAGATTTGATTCATTTGAAATGACTAAACTGTGTATTCTAGTGCATGAAATGGGTTTGTAGATATTAAAAGAGTACTTTCCTTGATCAGTTTGATATACATTGAGGAATTGACTTTATTATACATAAGTATATTTTGTTGAATTGATGTAAGAAAATGTTTCCTTGTAATGATAATATATCTGATTGCTAAATGTTAATTGTCCTTTTCGTTTTTAGTAATTAGTACCACTGTGTATTTTATGCTTTTTTGTTTTCAGTGATTAGTGTCAGCAAGTAACTAATGCTTTTTATACTTTCAGTAGTGAATACCAGTGTCTACTGTATTTTATGTAATTTCAGTGATTTGTACCACAAGATATCCCATGTTTTTTTTACAGTTTCAGTGATTTATACCACATTACACTCCCTGTTTTGTACTTTCCTTTTTTTATCACAAAGTGTGCTCCATGTTTTTTATAGTTCCAGTGATTTGTACCACATTACACTCCCTGTTTTGTAGTTTCGTTTTTTTATCACAAAGTGTGCTCCACGTTTTTTATAGTTCCAGTGATTTGTACCATAGTGTATACATTTTGTACTTTCAATGAATAGGAGTACAGTGTACCATATCAAGATTGTAATTTTATTGCTTTGTACCTCACTGCATTTGTTCGTTTGTACTGTTAGTGGTTTGTATTACAGGATACCACATTTTTATTTTTTGTGATTAGAACCTCAGTGTACTCCATGTTTTAAGTGTTTTTGATAATTTGTTTCAACAGTACGTTTAATAGCTCTTCTCTATTTCCAGTGATAAACGTTGCTGGTGTTAAGTGGGTGATTCGACTTCAGTTTCTTCTTTTGATTATACTACTTCTCGCAGCATTGGACTTTGCAGTTGGTACTTTTATAACTGTTGATCCTGGTATGTTTAAAATATATTTGTTCAAGCAGTTTCTTGTAATATTGTTATTTTTATTACATAAATTAAGTAGCATAGATATGCGTTGTTAAATACTTAGTAGTAAAAATTTCATTATTTGACAGTCATGTTGGAAACTGAGAAGTATTCCTTGTTTCCAGTTTCTTGTAAAGTACGATAATAAGAACAAATAAATCATATTTGTCATAAGACAAGTATTAGGCCTCTTATACTTTTCAGTACCACATTCTTTATTCACTCCCTTAGATTTTCAAGAAGAAGAGTGTATAATAGTATTTTAAACATACGATCTGACATCTGTTGTTAAAATGTATGTCTTATGACAAATATAATTAATTATAATCATGCTTTGCCAACTTAGATAAGGCACTCATAGGTTAATAAGAAAAACTCTCTCTCTCTCTCTGTCCTTTCTACCTCATTAGGTGATATTTTTATGTACTCCAAATGAAAAAAAAAGGTTTCTGATGATCTGAAAACTGTATAAAAAGAACTAAGATGTAGTGATTGTAACTTAAAATTGTTTTTAAATACCTATCATATCCACTGTATACTCACACATCAACTTATAGATTTGAATTATGTTAAGTAGACAGTATTAATGAGTGTTAACTGGTCATAGACAGATTATATACTTTGTAAGTCATGTGAACAATTAACCTGTTTTGTTTAGTGAATGGAGTGACTGGATATACGCTTGTTAATGTCAGAAACAACTCTAGACCTTCGTATTCAGAGGATCAAAGTTGGTTCACATTATTTGGTGTCTTCTTCCCGGCAATGACTGGAATCTTTGCAGGGATCAACATGAGTGGTGATCTACATAACCCTTCCAAAGATATACCAGCAGGGACATTAGCTTCTATTGGCACCAGGCAAGGGAATTATTTGTTTTGTGACAGGAAACTAAAAAGGAATATTTTAGCAGTAATTATAACTTATTATAGGTCTACCAGAATGTGTAACACTTCATTGTGAATATGTCTACAGTTGGGTTTTTGTGGAAGTAACTTATAAAATATTAATTATATTGCCTTATAATATGAAGAAAAAAAAGACTGCAGTTATATAAACTAGTGTAATATAACATTTTAAATTTATGTTTGAAATAAGCATCAAACTTTTTAAATATTTCATACATTAATGAAGTTTTGAATGAAATAATTTTTTTTTAACATATAAGAAAAATCCTCCATGAGTAAAATAATAATATTTCAACATATCTGAATAAAGTATGTTATACAAAAATTAATGAAATGAGTGCTCTGAATGTGAATACAATGGTCACTGAAATGAATAGGTTTGCTGAATAGTTCTTGGAATTGAACTGCTTAAAACCTAAAAGCAGAATGTGTCGGTGGCCAATAACTGATGCATCCGAGATGAGAAAATTTCTTGGCATTCTTTTCATCATGAAAAAATCATTGATATAGGATTACTAGTCAACTGATGCAGTGCTGGCTACTCTGCTTGTCAATACTGTTATTCCACATAATTATTTCAAACTTTTGCTAAAGTTTTGGCACTTCAGCAATAATGAATGAGAACCAGATGTTTAACACAACTTTAACACAACTCACTGTACATTATTGTCTTAGCTCATGGGTTAAAATTGCTGCAGCAGCAAATGTGTTAATGTTAAACAATTCATAAAACAACACAGCAACACTTCAGATAAAAATTATTAAACATTTAATACATATATTACCTTTTCTGCTATCATGTAGTCAGTCTGTAATGCCCATCTTTCACACGTTGCTCCTAGTCCCAAGGCACAGAAGATACAACAGCAAACTGCAAGAAACACAGTAGTATGATATGAAATACAACAAGGAGGTCATAAAACAGGCTATAAAACAAAGGTGAGCATAGCTAAACGGCCTATCATTTACAGTAACAAACATTTTCACATGCAGTCCATTGTAGCACTAAAAACAATTATATAACTACACTCATTCATGGATTAAGCACTTCATTCAAACCAGACTCCATCACAAACAGTTTGAAGATGTCAACTGGAGTGGCAAACCTGCAACCACTTGAGGCTTTACAGTAAAAGAGATATCAGTTAGACTAACATGTATAGCCTGGACACTCTACCATTCATCAACTGATGCTGGTATTCCAGTGTCACTGTCAGTGTCTGAATTGGCACTATTAGCTACATACTCAGAATCACTAGGCTCGTAACTACTGTCCTTATTAACCCATTACCATCTGAAGTCATTTTGTCTTATCAGGAGAGCAAATTGCATTTGTGAATTGAAAAAATTGTAGAGAACTTATCTTTTATTGGTTTTCAGATTTTTGTAAATATTAGCATAACATTCAATTATTTGTACAAAATTGTATTATTTAAAGAAGTTTGAAGAGAAAGTTAATAAAAAAAAAAAATCCCAAAATATGTTTGAGACTATGAATATGCACCCTCTAAGGGAAAAAAAAATTTCTTTTTTGTCCCTTGCATTTTAGTGCTGGTTTTGCTATCTAACATTGGTATGTAAACATTTTTCTAGTCTATTTTCTTTAGTAAACAGCATCTGGGCATGTTAAACCTCAATTGTAAAACTTTTAGCCAATCCTAGTCGAAACTGTTAATTTCAGTACCCTGTTATTCCAATCGCCGTATTTCACATTTAACAAATCATAGGATTATAAGCAAAGCACATGATGAAACTTTGTTCTCTGTAGTTTACAATATGAACATGCATGATGCTTTATAGTAACTGTCATTTTTGTGTTTTACTAGCAGGCAATAATACTTTCTTATAAGCCTTGTGATCCTCAGATTGTGAGTCAAACATCTTAACCACCTGCTCATGCCAGGCCCACAAATACAATTCACTATTTAATAACTTTCATCTTTAATAATGTATTTGTATTCATTGTTCTGTTTCTTTATTTCTAGTATTTATCATAGATTTTCAGTTTATCTCTTTGTACACTTATGTATGATTTGCTTGTTTTAAATTGTAGAAATTAAATAAAAATGGTTTAAAATACACTTTAATGAAGTTGAGGCATAATGATTTAATATTTTAGTAACTTTATATTGTATCGAGACGTAATTAAATATGAACTATATTCTTTTATTTTGACATTTATTTTGCATACCTGTTTTAAATCCTGACAACTGTTGTTTCAATTGAATTAGTTGAATTACATGATGAGTAAAATGCAAATTTCATTGAGGCTAAAATGGATAAAAAATAAAGATGAAATAATTAACATAAGTTATTGCTTTAGACAAGAAAGATAAACTCGGTAGTGTGTTGCTCAAGATCTTGGTGTTCAAAGCATTTTGTTAAAATTAGGTCTTTAAAGTCTACAGGGTTGAGTACATTATAGTAAAATCATTTGAAATATGCAAATCATTATGTTATGTGACAACTGCAGCTAATTTAAAGTCACAGTAGAATGCCACGTATCAAATTACATTTTAATATGGTTTGGAAATTTTGTAGGTAGTGTGATATCACCAAAAATGTATCACTTTTGGGAAGGGTATGTAACAGCCCTTTCTGACACAAAATATTCATAAACTCAGATCATAAAGGTGTGTTTAAATCAGGGATTTTGAACTTACAAGACAAGGATATGCCTGATATTTAATAACATTGTAAAATGAAGGAATATGGATCAACTTGGTACACCAGGATCATCCAGAAAGAGATGTGCAACAAGTCATATCCCAGCCATGTTAAGCAAAGTGCAGTATCTTGTAACAGGTGAGAATCTCTGAACACAAAGGTCAGTGGTAAAAACCATCCATGTTTCTTAGGCAACAGAATGCAACATAAACAAGATTTCCACCTGTAAACCAGGAGAATGGGGTTTGGGTTTCAAAAATAAGGCTCTCAATCATACATTCTGTTCAACCATCGTATACTTCAAGCAGCTGGAGAATGAAATGTGTACTCATAATATTCTGTGTTAAGGCATACCAGTAAAATTCCTAGATGCAGTACCTATGGATTTCTGTGATGAGACTGTTTAAATGGGAAACAGTACACTAGAAAGATTATGTAAAGTAAGTAGGGAAAAGTGGTGGTGTTTGGGAAGTATTCTGCAAGTCTGTTAAAGTTTCGTGGTTATCAGATAAAGCATAACTAGACATAGCAACATGCAGACTGAAATGATGGAGTGAACCTCAAAAATTATTTTAATATAGTCTACTTAACCCTCTGTATTAAGAGAAAGGGATTTCAAAGGAAAAAGTGCAGACTTAAGATAGTGTAAGTTTAATAATGACAACAGATTGATTTCTTTGGAAATACAGAATATACATTGAGTTAGAATCAACAACAGAAGTGTTTGAAAGCAGTTGCAACAAAAGTGTTCTACGTGGAAAAGTTGCAATTGTAAACCTGATATTTCATTTATGTATATAGTCAAGTGCTTAAACCTGGCAAAAGGTCATAAAATTGGGGTCATGCATGTGTGGCCAAGTGTTTAGCATGTCAGACCGTATATTGAAGGGTTCATGATTTATATTTCTTGTAAGATTGCCACTTTGACATGTTATAATGATGATGGTCACTTCACTCTTCCTTAAAGTAGTCAAGAGTTGATGATTGGTGCTGTTGAGTAGTTTCATTTCTTTTAATCTATCTGTTAAGAATTAGGGATGCCAAGAAAGTAGCCCTTGCATAGCTTTGCACTAATATCTAAAATAAAATAACAAACAAAAACCTGAACGCCAAATAAACTGTTTTTTTATAAAGTGATTTTAAATGTGTAAACAAGACCAATTAGTATAATAGTGAGTCTGCAACAATATTGGAACACTTTTGTATAATGAGAATGAAAGATACTTTAAAGTTTGATGTTTATAATTAAGAAGAAACAATACCTCAACATTCTGATTTGTCAAATGAATACTCAATGAATGAAGTTCAATTGGCACTACCTCTCATTTTTTCCCATTAATGACCAAACATTTGAAAGGAAATGAAAGGGCTTGTGATATGAAAGTTATGAAATGACCTGTCTGAAATCCTGATGCTAATTCATTTAAACATTTGTAGCACCAGTTGAAAAGTAATGTTGCAAAAGAAAAGCCAACCAATCTATAATAACTTTTGGAGATTGTATAGAAAAAATAGAAGGAAATATTGGTTGATAATCAATAATGTTAAGAAACTGGTAGCGTCTATGTGTAATGTTAAAATATAGCTAAGGCTAGACGAGTACTTACTGAGTGCAGATGAGGCAATTTATTATGCTTCAGAATTAACCTCTTATGCATAGCACTGTAATATTGAGTAAAAATATAGACTAAAGCAGCAGTTTTCTTTTACAACCTTTATTTACAACTTGAGTGTTGATACCTTGACTCACACTTTTGATTAGTACTGTGTGTCTGTCTGTGTGTGTATATAGCTGTTACTCGGGAAACACTTACTACCTGTTGCTATTGTTAGGTTTCAGCCATTGGTGTGATGTTACTCTCAGGACTCTACATTTCTTCCATGTCATCTTGTCTTGGATCGCTGTATGCTTCTCCTCGCATCATCCAGAGCATGGCTAATGAAAATGTCCTCCCATCTTGTATTTTTCTAGGTAGAGGGGTAAGTAAGATGTTGTGGTAGTGTGAACCTGTATGGTATCAATCATATTTTGAAAGTAGTTTGATTGATATTAAACATTTACTTCAAAATAAAACTTTATTCCTCTTTTCAAATGCTCAAATAAGAAAATATAGATGAAGCTAAATTTATATGTTACAAAAAGGATGGATTTAAGAGACATATAAATAATTTTAATATATTTTAGAGAAATTTTATTCATTCATTCATTGCTTATGGATATTCAAATTAGTTTTGTTGATATTGTTACAGAAAGGGCCAAATAAAGTTCCTGTCTATGCGATAATATTATTTGCTTTTGTGATCTTCATCTTCATCCTGATTGGTCAAATCAATACCCTTGCTCCAATTGTAACAATTCCATTTCTTCTGACTTATGCTGCTGTTGAGTATGCCTATTTTTCTTTGGCTATGACTTTTGATATCCAGCAGCAAAGGGAGGAGCGGTTTCATTCACAGGGAATGTCTAGTCCTGCATTTGATGTTAGCCAGGAATCTAAGAGGCTAGACCAGAAAACATCTAAAGTTGTGACTTATGGCTCTACATCTGGAAGCAAGGTAAATACTACATTATGGTTTTAGTATGTTTTATTTTATATACATATTTTAGTGTGAAAACTACGGGGTATTAATAAAAAAAACAAAAACAGTCTTCTGGAATTTTTGATTTATGATTTTTTATAATGATTTTTAATCTTCAGTATACATTTAATCTCTAATATTTGTTATGTTTTGTAAAGTGTTTTAGAATGTGATGCTAAAAAGTACTGTTGCTGGTTTTTATTCATTGAGGAATAGATAACGTACACTTTTATGATTAAAAGGTTTATTGTTATTTTTCTAGATATTATGAAAAGTGTTTATATCCAGAAGTCATAAGTTTTTTCAGTATTTTGATCATAAATTCATTGATTAATACACTTAACTTTCTGTAAACTGAACAAATATAGAAGCTCATTCAATATTGTTCTATCTTGGTTAGCTCCTTACTTTTACTGCATTCATTAGTTATGTTTTGATGTAGCAATGATCCATTTTAGCAACAGATGCTTTGGCAGAGGTACAAATATGACTAAACCAGATGATTCAAACAAAGAACACAGATTATAATTCATTTTGCAGTTGAATGGATAAATTGTCAACTTGTTCCTCAGATGGAAATGCAACCAAGAGATTAAAAAGTTGCAAACAGATTTCACAGAAATAGGTTTAATGACCTGACAACATGCCAAGAATCAATTAAATTTTACAGCTAAGGGAATTCTATGGAATTAACAGTATTTAAAAAATACACTTGCATCCAGGCAATTCCTTCTTGAGCCACTTCTGTACTTACATTGCCATCAGGAATAACTGAAATTTGTCTTGGAGCATGAATGAGTAACTCAGTAAAGTGGAAACTGGCTCCCTCTACAGGTAATATCAGAATTCATCTTTAATTAAAATACCAGTACAATAGATGTGAAAAATGTCACTGGACACTTCTGAATACTATTGTTCTGCGACAGATTGGTCATGGTCTGGGGAAATTTGAATAATGGTGCATGTATCCACTACAATTCCAGTTGAAGACTATTTGTGGATGTATAACATCTGATATAGTGAGTTTACAGTTTATTCTCATGATACCCAACATATCACAGGCTATAATGAGGCCACTTTCTGTCATGAAGTATCCAAAGTTGGGGTGATGATTATTCACATAGTCTCGCTTTCTGTAAACATGTTAGTTTTGACTAGCATGCATCGTAAAACAAGTTTTTTGAGCAATATGCATGTGTTTATTTTTTTTGTAAATTTTTACAGGTTATTTTGTTTTAAGTATTTTAATTCCATTACTTGTATGCTAACATCAACTGTTTTTGAGGGCCAATTATACAAAACTTAATGTTTTTATGTGTCATGAATTCATTAGTCTTCATTTGACACATGCAGTCACACTTGCAAATCTAATTATACGTGCTGTTTTTAGCACGTGTGAAAGTCTTTATTGAGTCACACATATCATATTCAATTTTAAATACTCATGAGGAAAGAGGAAATGCATTATTTATGAAAATGCATTGTGTAACATAGTAATTTATCTTTATTTGTTGTGATCATCAATGAATCAAAACGGAGAAGAGAGTAGCCAAAAGCAAGAAAATCAGATGAAATGAGAAATGAGATTATTGGATGTAGTTTTGATTAAATTAATTACTACTAATATAATACAAATATTTATAATGTTAAAGAGTAAAATGTCTTCTTGCTATTTCCCTATCATAGTGCATTATTTTAAGCACCTGTGTGATTTGCATTGCAAATTCATTTGTGCTTGTAAATCACCATATACTTGTGTTTTTTTGTATAGAAAGGCCTATCATTGATGATTTGTTACATTTTTTCTCCTTCAATACAGTATACTAGTGACTTGGACCGGCTGTTCCCTGAACGTTTAAGACACAAACAGCAAATGTTTCGCCAGCCTAGTAGCCAAAGTACTAATGAGTCTCCTCTAACATCACCAGATGAGCATAGCTCTGTTGAGAGTGCAGAATCCACAGGTGATACCAAGCCTCGTTCTGATGTAAATGCTACAGACAAATCTTCCCTTTTAGACAAAGGTGAATTTTCAGGAATTAATCATTTCTGCACTTTTTTTACATTTTAAGGCAGATTAATTCTCAAATTCTTAACTACATTATACTTTAGAATAGGTAAATTGTCTTGATAAAAAAAAATAATAATAATAATGAAAAAAATTACAAGTTTTTCATGATCAGTATAGAATTTGTAGTCGATAGAAATGAAAACAGTATCTGAAGTGTGTAGTATTAAACCAATAAATGTTAGAAAAATATAGAAAGAACAATGGTGGGATGTAACATGAACTTAATCAGAGAGAAACAAAAAATGTATGTAATATTTTGTTAAGTTAACTAAGCATTCTAAAATGTGAAGCATAATGAGAAAAACTACTCATTTGAAATTCTCTTCTTTAGAGAATTTAGAAAGCTGACCATTGATAGGTTTCCAAATTTCTGTAGGGCAGTTCTATTCTTGAAGAGGCAGCAATGTCTACTAATACTAAGATTTAGGAATCTGATAATTAGAATTTTCTCAAAGCAGAATCCTTTTCTCATGTCAAACTAACTAAGGGCATTAGAAATTTTGCCAATGTATCAGTGCTCAAAAATGGCATGGTGCATGTCTGTGTTGTGAATTATAATGGTTAGGCTTATTTTTCTTTCCCATATGTACACATCATTGCAATGTATGCATAAGAATTTAATATATAATGTAAGTAGAGATTCCATGCTAATGTTTTTAAATAAAAACTAACTCAGATTACATTATATCATAAATGAAAGATTTCTCATTGACAAAATATTAGTTTTAAAACATCATTTCCACACCCCTTTTTTCCAAGTCAGTAGAAAAAAAAGTAACAAACAAAACATAGAGTAGTTAAATTTATTTGAACTCATTAAAGATATTTTGATTGGAGGAAAATTGTTTATTTCAATGAAACTTTTCACTAAAAATTCTAACTTCAATTCTAATTTTCTTTATGTGCTACAGAAAGACTTAGCATAATTATAAAAGGATCTAATGATATCCAGTTTTTGGTTTTTGTGTGAAAACAAAGAAATTATGGATTTTTTTCTATTAAGTTCTTGTGTAATTAAGGAGTCTCCAACCTTAGAAGCTCCTGGTTACAGGTCATCTTGTGTAAATTCTTTAGAGAATTTAAATGTGGTAACCTTCTTTTTGTTTATTATTATACAGAGTTCAAACTAATTCTGGAACAAATAACTCAGCATGAGTATAAGTCATGTAAAACCAAACAAGAAATTTGATCCTATTTTTTGTTGAACCAACCACAGACAAGTAGTTAGCCTGCCAGGCTGTGTGGTCTGAAGTTCTGTGGTTCACATCTCATTACTGTATATAAAAAAACAAAACAAAAAAAAACCTTTATATAGCTTTATACAAAATGAAATGACCAAGCAAATATTTCTTTTTGTTCTCTGGTTTGGAAAATGTTAGCATAGACTGAGTTCCTATTTTGATAATAGTTTTTGTTTTCAAATTAGTTAAAGTAATTATAAAAATGAGTAACTTAACTGAAATTTGACAGGGAAAGTAACATCTAGGTTTGTTATTTTTGTAAATCTTCAAACTAGAGTACAAGATCCTTGAACTTTAGAAAATAACAAAACCACATCAAAACGTACATGCTGAGGTCAAGGATCATAACTATAAAGTTCTAAGTAAATCTTTCAGATCAAATGAGTTGCTGAAAATCTGAGAAGGAAAATATTAACAACTTACCAAATTATAGCTACAGTTAATAGAATTGGACAAAATGAGTAAATCATATGTGTATTATGGAGAGTTAAACATCTGAGAATTGCTGAAATCTGTATTTACTAAATTTGTACAAATCATTTAACAAATTTATTAATGATATTCTTTTTTTTTCTTGGAAGTTTCATGTTTATTTGATTTTTGTTTCTTTGGATCACTGTGATTTTAGAGCATTTTAATATTAGATTTATCTGATGTACCTTGCATTATTTTTCATGATAAACCTCTTTGAATTTCCTTATCAGTTTTAAGAATTTTAGTTTTACTTTCAGATTTACATTTTTGAAAGTTTTAATTTCTTTGGGCTAAAGTTGAGTTTCAGATTCTTTTTTAATTAATGCTGTGTGGAGGATCTAACAAAACGTTCTCCAAAGAAGCCATTTAGCTTCATCAGAAAACGTAGAAAATTTGTTTGAAAGAAGAAAAACTGATTTTCACTTGCATTAAATTCTATACACAACTAGTTGTAAAATAAATCTATTCCCAAACATTACTTTTTTAGTTTTAGTGTTAAGTTTTACTGCAATGTTACAAATGAAAATTTCAAGTTTAATCCCAAATTCAAAAACTGTAGACTTGTAGGTGTGCAACATAGTTTTATTGTGATATAATGTCATACCAATCAGATATTTGCTAAGTTTATTTTGCAAAACAGAAATATAAACTGCTTTCAAACTTATATAAAGGTAATTTTGTATTGTATACTTTCTATAATTGTTTTGGTTATGAATAATCCAATAGCAAATGTCAGAGAGAAATTATTGGTATTTGTTTTGAAAGATAGGAGGGATGTAACATGAGGGTTTCACTTATTTGTTTGTATCTTATCAAAGTAAGTAACTTGGACATCAGAAATATGCATATTAGCTTGGGAATATCTGTAGTATAGTGTGTAATTAATGGGAACTTAGAAGATCTTACAACTATAGAAAGAAAGTCTAAAATGGGCAGTTTGGAGCAAAGAAGTGTAATGTGATGCAGAGAAGTGAAGACTGAGAATTTACTGTAGTATTTTCTTTTTTTAATTAAAATTAAAACTTGTATCACATCAAGATTTGAATTTAAACTATGTTTTTTGTCAAGTTTAATGCCATACATTGATAATAAAGCTGTTCAATTAAATTTTGAATGTAACTGTAAAAGGTTATGATGTGCACACTATTCACCACCCATGTGCATAAGGTTAACTGAATGCAATATTGTGTGTACTGTTTACTTCACATTCTTATTCATAACAACTGACTTTACTTTTCTGTTTGACTGACTAAGATGTAATTAAAAAGAAGTCATTTTTATATGATTGATTTATAACTTGGTTTCAAATTTTATAAATATGGAACTATTAAATTTTTTGCTTCCATTTTCCAAACACCATCCATTGTCATACTCTGAAATTATGTTTCACACTTGGCAAAACTGTTAGTTTAGCACATCAATTTGTTCTGTTTGTTTTCTTCTTATAAAGCTTGAGTTATATGCCATGTAAATATTTCCAAGCTAGTACTGCATTTTTTTAAAATCACCATGAATAGTAGTTTTTATCTAATACTAATTACCTATATCAGGTTTAGAATGAAAAAAATGATGCATTATATTAGTGGTTTAGTTGCCTCATTTGAAACTTATTATTTCTTAAGTTTTGACCTCAGATTTACAGTTAATGAATAGGAGAGTCTTCCAAATGTAAAATTTATTTGTTTTTTAATGTTAAATGAGTTAAGCAGTGTGTGATCAGTGAAACTATTTGAAACTTGTCTGTATGTAATGATTCTTGTTCTTCACTCTTTAATAGAACATCAACTCTGGCCTGAAATAAGCAGAAAGACACGTGCATGGTACTCAGTTCTTTGTAATAGGTGGATAGCTTTGATTGGGGTGAGAATGACCTGTAAATATTTCCATTTAGCATTCATTGTTCCCAGCAGAAGATAATTTGTTATTTTTGGATCAAAAAGTAACATTTTTCACAATTTGTGTATTATGCTGTAGCTGAGTTCATGTCTGTTTCCTCAACTTGTTTTCTAGATAGATTCTTTGTTGACAAAATTTTGTGTATGAGACTAACAGAAATTGTTTATTCTGATTGGTTTAAATTTTTCTCTTTCAATTTAAAGTTATTTGGTACTTTATGTTGAATATTTAGCTATTTTAGATATATTTATAATAGGTATATTTTTGACAATTGTAAGTGAGCATAATATCACACTTTTTCAGCAGTAAGTTAGATCAAAGGATAAGAAGTTTGTTGTTTTTTTCCAAAAGTTAAGTTATAGGATTTTTATCAAAAAATTTCCCTTAAAAATCCTTATTATATCTGATTTTCAATTCAGATAAGTGACCAGAAATATTCAAGACTTAGTTTTCCAAGCCAAAAAATATAGATATGAATTAAGAAATGTTACTAAAACTGAATAGATATTTTATTTCATGCAAACCATGCTAGAGCAAAAAGGAAATTTTGCTCTTTTTTTTTTAATCGAATGTATGAATTTAAGATTTAATATGTTAAGTACTGTATTGAAAACAACACCAAGAACCAAAAATTACTGTACTTTGTTTACCTCTCTCACATATGGTTAAATATAAATATACCCAGTTACACGCGCAAGTTCTTTTTTATCTTTGATTCTATCTAGTATATCCATGCTTTTATTGTTTCTTGCTGACTAAATTGTGCAGCAGTTTTTACAATAATTTTTTGGCTCATTTTGTGGCTTGCTTGAGCAGATCAAGTATTTGAAAGCCATGCCAGGACCAGACATTTGGCTTGAGCCCACATTGGCTTGTCCACCTCTAATTCTTTGCTCAATTATTACATCTGCCACTGAAGGTAACAGAGGTTATGTTTTCATCCCTGTGTGTGTTTGTCAATGAGATTTCTTAAACAGCTGGATTGATTTAGGTGAAAGTTGGTATACATTTGGAATATGACCCAACTTAGAAGTGATTAGTTTTTGAAGAGCCAAGGGTCAAGGTCACAGCAAGGTCACGAAAGCCCAAAAAAATCCGTATCTCTTAATATGGAAACAGATTTTTCACACTATTTTTGCTCTATAACACAGTCAAAAATTATCAGATTTGAATGAAACGTAGTGGACATATGTACAATATTATTCCTCATTGTCCTGTTGAAAATTATCCATGTCTGTTGATAATGGCAGACAGATACATTTTCATATTTTTTGAGGGCCGAGTATGAGCAACACTGCATGGTGGAATTGTGTGATTTACTGAGTACCCCTTTAATTTTATCATTGTATGACAGGTTTGTTGAAAACTAACAAATTTATGATTTAATGTGTTAATGTGTATAATAAAATAGTAGCAAACTCAACTCTGAAATTTCCTTAGTCCAATACAAGAACTTGTTTTAGCTACACTTCTTCCTTGTTACCAAAATAATGCTACTTTGTCAGAGTTTGACTTTATTTAACTCTCACTTTGGTTATGTAACTTGATCTTTACATGGATGAGGGTAGTTATATACTCATTTCTTAAGTACACTGATGTAATAACTTAATGCTGAAACAGACATACTAACTTTTATGGGACTTTTTCTTTCCATTTTTCTGTTTTTACAAATTATACAGTAAACTCTTATCACTGTTTACTTCAAAATCAAACTAACTTATATTTCCTATCATCTCCTCCTTGAAGTTTCTTTAACATTCTGATAATAAAATTGCAAGATTTCAAGTACTGTAATTTTAAGAAACCTCTATTTGTTGAAACAGTAACATTTATATCAGGGATTCTCAAGTGGAAGCTGCAGAAAAGGAGAGCCCTATCAAATTCACAAAATACATGATACATTTAAAGTACTTAGTATCTAAAGATTCATTGGGAGTAAGGCCTCAGTCATGATGTGAAACTTTGTGGGGGGGGGCCTTGTGCTGAGAAAGTTTGGGAACCCATAATATATCCACACTCATAATTACAACGAACATTTATTAGATAACTCATATTTTAAAACAGTGTAATATCGTTTATATGTCATGTGAATCAAATTCCAAAGTAACCATATCAAGTGTAAAATTAACACAACAATTAAAGTATATTTAGTATGATTGTTGTTTATTCTGTGTTGCTTTAGTTTACAAATGAATAATGTTGTATAAATATTATTATTGATACAGGTAATTTTTTTTTTGTATTAAAGATAGTATTTGATTATAATGAAAATTAAATAAGTTTATTTTGAAAACATAATGTTAGATAAGAAATGGTAAGGATTTAAACTCTAGAACGAACTAAGGACTAAAATTAAGGTGATTTTCTTTCACTCTGCAGGCTATAGTTAAAGTGGTAGTCATGTTTCTGGTCCAATGGGGTTATGCTCTTTCTGTAATAATGGCTGTTGCTGTTATGTGGTTTTACATTGGCCAGGTGAATCCTGGGATATTTCCTGGTAAGTGAAGCTCTCTTTAAAATTGTGAGAGATTAATATATAGATAAAAAAATTTATTTAATTTTAATTCACTGATGCACCAGTCTGTTGTCAACTTCAGTTTTGACTTTTATTTTGCACATAAAAAGGGCAAAATGTGGGTATTAGAAGGATTACTTGTGAACATATCTTTTATAGCAAATATTTAGATAAAAGAAATCAATCTTTCTATTTTTCTCTCCCCAATGCCACATTAAATTTTCTGTGTTGATTTTCATTATCATATAGTTAAGCTATGTTTAAAGAAATGAAATTTATAAATCCTTATGATTTTACATTACTTACATGTCATTCTTAAACAGTTAAATTCCATGTATGAAACTGTATTTTTATAACAACTATTTTTGTGTTCCTTTCATAGTCATACCAAAAACTGGCCCAGAGGTTGGCAGTGATAAACATGCCATTACAACATGATGAGACTTTTATTTTTCTAACTTTAAATAATAATAACTTCTGATCGAAGTAAGCCTCATACTTAAAGTTAAACTTAAAATCAATCTGGCTATCAGCATTGCTAATTAAATGTATTTATTTTATGTATTTACTAATAAAGAGTAGGATGCATTGGTTCATCAGTTGGGTATTCTAGCTGTTAATGATATTTTTGACCATAACCCCAGTAATATCTTATGAGGTTTGGCCATCTTAGGGGATTTAGGTTAGTCCTTGATATATATACTAAGCTAACAATGATAAGTCTTTATAATAAAGTATAATACTAAAAGTTAAACTAGTAAGTAATAAAACTAGGTATAGTAAACATTCCAAAGTACTATTAACAAAAATAACTACAAAGAAAGAATATAGAGTATCTTATGGAACAGAAAAACACTAACATTCAGCTCTCCAGAGTGCCAGTTGTAGTTGTCTTCTTTAACAAGTTCAACTAGTAAGCTAAAGGAAGTTTCAAACTAGTATGTTTGACATGGTCTATTAATTTTGTAGTGATGGTTAATTTTTATTTTCAAGACTTGTGTAAGTTAGTTTTTCTGTGTGGTTAATAGTTTAGTGGCATAACAAGGAACTATTAAAATTGTATCTGTGCATATAAATTTATTAGAATACCATTACATAATTGTGTAAACACATTATACTTCAATAATTATTGAAAAGTGCCCTTAAAATTAATGTTTTTTAGCTCTAAGCCAGAAAACTTAATGCATTTGGCTAAAGATTTTTTCAGTATTGAATGAGTACTTATTACATGGAGGAATTAAAAAAACTCTTAAAATTCATTGTAATACTAGCATATTTCATGCTATTTAACTCTGAATCACAGATGGATATCTCATTCTTAAATACATAGTCTCTCTACGGAGGTGACACTGATTATAATTAAGTCTTTCAAGGTATTTTAAAAAATGTCATAAAATAAAGCAGTGTAAGAGCTTTTTAATTATTTTAATAACACTGAACTACTTAGTCTGAAGTTTTCCATATTGTTTTTTAAAAAAGCATGAAATATCAGTTTAACCATGAATGAGACAGCTTGCTAAGGCATTTCTGTATTAGTTTAAGATGTTAAATAAATTTGTTTGTGCCATCACCTAGGTACAGTGAATTTTACTTTTGTTTTTTAAGAAACTTTTATTTGTTAAAACACTACTTGAAACAGTAACATTTATATCAAGGGTTCCCAAGCTTGGAACTGCAGGAAAGGATTAGAGGGCCCTAGAAAATACACAATACTTTTAAAGTACTTGGTATATATATACATTCATTGGGTGGGAAGCCTGAGTCTGGATGTGAAATGTTGTGGGGGGGGGGGTTGTGCTGAGAAAGTTTGGGAATCCATGACATAACTACCCTCATAATTACAAAGAATATTCATTAAGTAACTCGTATTTTAAAACAGCAAAATATAGTGTAGGATGTGTCATGTGAATCAAATTCCAAACTAACCATATCTTGGAATTTTCTGTTTTCTGATTGATTTATGTATGTAATAGTACTGACCTAATTTTTTCTGGTATTTTGTAGCTTTTAAACTGCAAAATATTATAATTGAATTGTTCAACCATACTAATAACTTAGTATATGTAGTTTTTAGCTAAACAAAATGTAATGTAACATTAGATTATTGTTTTAACATGTCAGTAGTCTAGTTAAATGTTTCTTAGTCACTTGTCTATAGACCAGTGCTGGTCCATCACAACCACCTTTCTGATCTGTGAGATTTCACAAAACCAAACAGATTGACAGAATATTCATGTGTAAATCATAATGGTTTTTGTACTACTTGCATTTTAGTAGTCCGTGACAGCTTAGGGATGCAGTGAGTCGGTCCCTGGTATCGAAAAGATTGATAAATGCTTGTTTAGTTTACATTTTAAGTTTAATTTTTACATTTGTACTGTCTTTTTTGTTTTTTTTGCATGAACTTTGTAAGAGAATTATGATAGAAAACATTTCTTAATTATGTGCAGGATTGTTCAAATGTAGTATGTGTATTGTGTAATTGTAATGGTAGACAATTATATGAACATTTATATATGAATTAAAAGATGCAAATAAGTATTTTACTTGTTGCATTCCTCTTGATTTTTGTCTTTGAGGCAAAACCAAAATTCTGCAACTGTTCATGTGAAAATCAATGATGTAAAGTTTAAATACTATTTTTATCAGATCATAAGGTTGTTTTTTTTATACAGGTGTTGCACAGTTCAGACTGTTGCCGTGGTTGAAGAATTTATTTTTGAGATGTATTGGGTAAGATTTGTACTATTTATAACTCGTACAGAATTTAATTATTGCGGTTCACTGATACCTTTATCTGTCAACTGTTGTGACTTCAATGATTGCAGGATTTATTCAAAGCAAAAAGGGTCTAACAGGGAAGCTTAAGTGACTTTTTTTAGTGAAAATGCATTGTAACATGTATGTTCACCAATGTTGCCTCGAATTTTCTTTGTACTGAGTGGGTTACAAACTCCAGTGAGCAACACTTTTGTTCTTAAGTACTTTTAAACTAACTCGGAGAATAATGAAATATTACCTACATATATTGGAGTTAGAAGCACTAGTTTAGCAATGCAGTATAATCAACTGCATTTACCCAACTCAAAATTCTTTTCACAAAGCTCCAGAGGTTTTGTTTTTCCACATTGAGAAAAGTGCCAAATAATACATTTTTAAGTTCTTTAAAATACAACAACTATATTTGAAGCTAAACAGGTTTACAGAAAATAACAAATAGAAGGAAATAAAATTCTAAATAACAACTATCACAGAAAAGTGTGACTAAGTCTTTGGAGTTCTGATGGAAAATTATGGTGAATGTAGAAGAATTAAAGAATATTTCTGTGACAGGAAGAAATGAAGTATTTAGTTTCATTTAACTACTAATCTTACTATAATGGATGTAGCAGGTATATATCTATGTATGTGACCGAAATAGTAAATATGTGGCACCATCTTTTGAATGCCACCACAAACAAAAAATCTATAAAAACAAAAATTTGCACTTTAGATATTCAAGATTTAGACAATTGAAAATATAATTATGGTATGTGAAACAACCATTTATTTATCACAGAATACAATTTTAAATACAAGTACTCTCCAAACAACAAGAGCATGACTTTCACTAGGACTGTACATGAAGGTTTGATTATATCTTTATTGAGGTGATTTGTAAATATAGTACTAAAAAAACTTGTTTTTTCAATAAAGGGTACCACTTTTAATATATAAAAACATTACAGTTTATATCAACACAACCTGAACACTTTTCCTGTGCAGTACTTCCCAGAAAAATCCTTTTTTGGAAAATGTTCACTTTTCTCAATGTCTTTTTTTAATTAGGTATGAATATTATGATTAGTAATTACTAGGGTGGTGTTTCTGCTAGCCTTTTTAATTTTCACCAATATATTTTAATCAAATATTATGCATAATAGATAAAATTTTCAATCTTAAATAACTAAATGAAAATGTTTTTACAAGTTTTGTCTGATGGTTTCCTTAAATGACCAACATTCTTCTGGAAACGTTGCACTTGCTTGTCCATTCTGAATCTAAGTTAACTTCATCTAAATTGTTTGCTCTTAGTAGGTGGATAGCCATCGGAATGTTTTGTCATTCTTAGTTTAAACTTGTGTTATGTTAAATTTGCATTTTGCAGGAGCATCTAAAGAAAAACTATTACTTCAATAACTCTGCGGATATTTGACAACCCCGTTTTAAAACTGAGTAATAAAAAAAAAATATTTTGTAAAGTGACTTAAACATGAGCTATTTATATAAAAGGCTGATTACTATAAAAACACTTACATTGAGTTTTATTTTTCATGTATATTTGTGTATTTTGTACATAAATTAATTTCTAACTTCCTTTCAGACGGAAACCTCCAGATTATGATCAGATAGTTGTAACACCAATGCATCCGGGAATGGAAGTAACGGCAGCTCAGCTTACAGAAGAAAATGAAGATTATGCAGCACGAGAACGATATCATCAATCTACAACAATGAAAGGAAACCAAGAGTTTAGAGGAGTTGAAAGTGATTGAATAGCTTTTTGAGGCTACCACTAGGTGATTACTGGAAGCTGAGCAGAGGTTAATCTAACATCATATTGTTACTTATTCCCATGATATTGACTATCAAAACACACATTATGAAGCAAAAATTACAAAATCAACAACAAATGTTTACAACCTGATTTTATGCTTTTCTGTCCATTATAAATTACATTCTTATGTTATTGTGAATAGGCATAATAACTGTTTGTGTAGCATATAGTGTACCAATGTATGTGTGTGTACATTGATCCTGAGTTAGAAAAAAAAAGCTTATGAAGACATTTATCTTTATTACTGCAGGGATAATTTCCTATTTTTAGGTAGTGATATGAAAAAAATTTCTAGCTTATTTCACATTTTCATCCATGTCACAGATTTGGCACATGAAATTTACAAATGAACTAAAGTTGAGTAATGTAACTCCTAAAATTGTGACAAATTCCAGAGACAAAATTGTAAATAAACATTATACGTTGCAATATTAAAGACTTGAAGTATGAAAGAGTAAATAATTTATTTATCTTGTCAGTTTGAGCTTCTCTCTATGAATTTAGTTACAATTGTTAGATTAATATCTGCTGATTTAAGTATGTGTGGATTGCAGAATTGTAGGCACTGTGAAATGTGTGTCAATGTGATATTGCTGGCATACTCTGTAGGTCCTTTACAGGTTGCAACAGGTATGCACATTAATGACTTTGAAAAAACATTGTATAATCACTCCTATTTTTTAATGTATGTCTGGTTTAACACAACTTGCATTTATACAGACAGATTACAAGTTGCGGGTCTGTCACAAGAACAAGTTCAGAATCCTGTTCCATGTAATATTCAGGTTAGCCAAAAACAAAGGATACTTAATAGGATCTCTTATTTATATGTTTAAGTCTATAAGTGCAAGTGTGTTCATTTAAGCTTTACACAATGTTATTTTTTCAAGCATTACTTCTATATCATGTTTTTATTTAGAACAAAACTTTTTTTCATCATCATTTAATATCAAACCCTTGATTTTGCTCAAAGTTATACACATTGTATTCTGATAATTATTTTGAAACTAATTTCAACGTAGTTTTAGAGATTTGAGGTATGTTTTGAAAAATTTTGCAAGTAAAGATTTCCCATATTATACAAGGTTTTGCACTGATTCTCTAAAACTTTGAAATAAGAAATTTTTTAAAAATCAATCTATGAAACTAGGTTTTTAATTAGATATTTCCACAAGCAGATAATTTCCATTGTAAAGACCTTTTTTATTTATTCTTGGAAAATCCTTTATTTGGATACAATATCTCACCTCCAGTCACAAAATATTTTTCTCTATTAGTACTGCCCTGTATTGATTGAAATTTTCAATGCTCTGCCACTAGCCTTCCACCTCTTGCTTCTGCATATCCACATGTAAATGGTCATGCAGCAGCTCTCAACCAATAGGAGCATGACACAAGTCCTATTGTAATCAGCGCCCTCTTCACACTTGCTCTCGTTAATCACTTCTGTTACACACACTGACCTGAAGATGAAAGTCAAAAGACTTTCAAAATGTCATCCTCTACACTTGTGTATCTACAACAGGCAGTTGCTGTCCATACTACAAAATTTCATCATGAATAATCTGCCTAAACAATCTATCAAAGAATAATCACTTCTTGATTGGTAAAAGTACTGTACAGACATGCTAGTTTTTGTTTGCAAATTTGTCGACATTTTTCTTTATACTATAGACTTAGCTTTTCTTTACTATATATTTAAATTTTCACATTTTGTAATTGTGAAAGGTTGCTTTTTTTAACTTTTCTTACTTTTTAAGGGGCCTTTTTATCTAGTTTAGTGTGGATCCCACTCTGTGGGAAGTGGTGTCTGACCAGATATACTTTTTTTTTAAATCTTCACTGTTCTTCCTGTGATCATGCTCAATGTCAGTTATGTTGTAGCCCTTTCTATAGTGGACCTGATGAATAATTCTAGATGCCACCAGGTGTTGGTTGTAGCACTATGACGTATTACTGTCTATATATCTGAGTGATTGCTTTTTTCTAACATGGATTTCTCCTACCTACCATCCTCCAGAGGTACATTGATTGGAGATGTCCTGTCATGATTAGAATCATGTGTCGATGGCATGATGCTCTTCCTACTGTAGACCTGATGTAGAATTCCATATGCTGCCAGGTTTTCATTGAAGCACTCTGCCATGACACAAATTTATATCTATCATTGCAGTTTGCCCCTCAGGCTGAGACGTTCCTACCATCCTCTGGATGTACATTTCCAGTGGGTATGGTGTTGGTTGAGATTGTCCAGCAAAGTAAGTCCTCACATGCGTGTTGGCTGGTATCTCTCTTCCTCCTATCATGGACTGGATGACAAATGCCCACTGCTACCAGGTTTTGGACTGGAGATGCACCCTAGGTTTGCAGTCCTTCTTCCTACCATCTCCTGGATGTCAGTTCCTGGCAGATATGGTGTTGGTTGTGTTGGAAATGTGCGTAAGTGGAGATGGATTTTGGTACGGAAGCTTGCAGATGTGTGCAGTCTTCTGCAGAGGTGCAATGTTTTCTATTTTTTTTATTCCACACATCCTGGTCTATCTTTGGATGCTTCCTACAGGGGGATAATTTTTTTTCCCAGAGAAGAGGTAAGATATTGTCTCAAAAGTTAGCATTTTCCTACACTGAACATGTACTTCCAATAGATACGTACCTCCACTAACATTTCTCACCCAGCTTCCCCACTTCTAGTGATATATGGTGTAGGTTTTCTAACGAATCTTGAAGTGATTAACAAGTGCAAATGTGAAGAGGGTGCTGGTAATGATAGGAGTTGTCATGTTTTTATTGGTGGAGAGCTGCTGCATGACCATTTGCATGTGGATATGCAGGAGGTGAGAGGCTAGTGGCAGAGCATTGAAAAGGTAATTCAGAGATAACCTACATATTACAATCTGTAGAAAAATAATTACAATTTATTTGTTCCCAAAAAAGTAGTTTGTAAGAAAAGACTAAAATTTATTCTGAGACCTACAGATTACTGTTAAGTAGGTGGCTTTTATAGTATTTGTTGTATCAAAACACTGTACAAAGATAAATTATAATTTTTTATAATGCGAGTCATTTTGTCATACAGACCTTCATGCTGATGATTCAAACATGATGCATTTTAAGACCACAATTGTATTGTTTTGCTGACACTGCTGTTTTGAAAGATAGAACAGAAGTTATTTTAATCATGCAAAAGTAACTTATTTTGGATTGATGTGTGTGGTATAAATATATTTTCTATTGATGTCTTAATTAACTGAGGCTACTATTTTGAAAGACTGAAGGTGCAATTTTTTTTATTGTGGTTTTGTTTCAAGTAAATGAAAGGCTTGACTCTTCTTCAAAATATTATACTGTGCAACCCAAACTTAAGCTAGTAACAAATATGACTTGTGTACAGATCCTGCAAGGCCTATAAAAGTATTAAAATTGTAGGGTTTCTTGTTTAGTGATTTATTTATTTTCTTGTTATATGTTTTTTTATTAATATTGTGAAGGTATTTCAGTTAGTATTTGAAAAAAGTATTTTGACATATGTTGGACTCGCATAGCCCTAAATTAAGTTAAATAAGTAGGTTATGAACAAGATGTGTTTGGCACAAGATAAGTTTAGGTTATATTTACATCTGTATTTAACAATAGTGGAATTGAAAAATACCAAGAACCAAAAATTTATATTTCATAAACATGTTTACCTGTTTCTTTGTTTATTAGTAAGCTTCTCTGGCTTTGACTTGGATCATCAATATACTAATAAACAATAGTAATAATAATAAGTAGGAAAAATTCAATTTTAAAAAATAATTGACTTATGCCTTTGGTATTTGTCTTATTTAAGAGGCTCTAGTGCCTGTAAGTTTGGCCTTTATTATCCAAAAGTATTTCATTTGCAAATGAAAAGTGCCATCCATGTGCCAAGGGGTTCTAGTTTTAAATTTACATTTATAAATGCATTTTAAAGCAGGCTTTTTCAAACATTTTAACTGTTTTTTTGTCAATATTCTAGTCACGTGTAATAACTTGTTTTTATTGTCATGTTTTTGTAATATACAGTTAAGATTTTTTTACTAGTCGTACTGAACTCAAGTTCAGTTGCAAACCCTTTTATCAGTATCAAATCACCTTGATAAAATAAAATATTACTGATGTGATCGTTAAAGAAAAGAAAGGATCAGTTTGTATTATTTATATGATTAATATTTTTAAGAACACAACATTTTAACCGTCATCATTTTTCAAAAGAAACGTACCACGCATTTAAAATGTTAGTTTGCCTTTAAAAAACACTTTATTTAACTAGGTAATGAATAATAGTTTTGGAATTATAAAATTTGACATAAAAAAATGTATTGTATTTATATGCTAGTGTATTAGACTTCAGCCAGTAGTTTTAAATTTGAGTCTATTTTTTACTATTAGATAATATACTGTCTGTACTGGAGATTTTAAACTGTGATATCTTAACTGTAGACATTAATAATGATCTCTTTGCTGCTTCAGTAATGAGGGGTATTAATTTAAATATGTTTTTAAGATTATTTTATTATTATTAATTTAGCACTTTTGGGATATAACTTAAACTTAGTAATTTTAAAGGCTTGTAATCATATATGGCATAACTTTTTTCACTCAATGATTAAAAAATAAAGTTTAAGATAAGTCTGAACATAAAAACATAATTACTAAAGTTTTACATTGTAATAGCGATTATATAACAAAAATATTTTCATGAGTTGGTGAAATACTCATTAAACATTTATTTATAATAACTTACAGCTCATTTTTCATTTATATGCTTATTTAAGTTACATTAGTATGCTCATTAAAATACTACAAGAATAAAATTAATATAGTTATAATTCTAAGTATACTTATTTTTAAGATATACCTTATAAAAAATGAAAACTTCAGTTAAAAAGCAATTTGCAAAGTCCATACCAAAGTTTCTAAACATCTTTCCAAATATTTATCTGTACACATGCTGAGAGCAGTTAAGTTATTTTAATAACGTTTATTACAGAAATAATTGGAAATAGTGTTATGAAATGTTTTTATTGTTTGAGCTCGGTGTTCAGAAATTTATCTATTTCATTTGGACAGTTGGTCGAAAAGGTTCTGTTTTATAGTATGTATAATTAAGTGTATATTTTTAAAATGTTTATTGAAATCGAATGTTACATATACTTTATGAAGCCATATCTATATATACTTTTAGCTTAACATGTTCAAACTTAGGTCTATGAAAAAAAATGTGAAAAACATTATTTATTTATTTCTGTTTAGTAGTAATAAAAATCTAATTTAGAATAATCTATTTGCAAAACTGATAATTTTTTTGTATTTTTATGATTTATTTATTATTATTCTAAGCAGTGGCGAAATCTGAATTTGTTTACATATTTGAGTAAAAATTCATTTAGGCTTAAAATCTTAAGCTTTTTCTTATGGATTGTAAAATTTGACATGATATATAATGGAATGCAAATATTTTTGACCTAGCAAAGTGGTAAAATGTATGATTTCAGATTTGTTCTTAAAATTTCTCTAAACTATTCCATTATATATTTCTAGTAAGAGGTATATAAAAATTGTATATGAATTTTCAGACATAGTTGCATAGAATTCAAACTTGTTTAACTTTTGTTAGGAACCACTTATTTTGAGATCTAAACCAGTTATAGTGTTGTTGGACATCCTGAGGTATATTCTAAATTTCAATGAGTACTTAAGAGAAACCCTATTGTTTTATTCTTAAATAATATAACTACATTATATTTTCTAAATAAGATCTGAGATCTTTGTTTGAATTTTGTATTTGTTGCTAAATTTTATGAAAAATCAGTTCGATTTCTTGTATATGGCACTTTCATTAATATTTTAAAGTTGTTTCTTAGTAACATTTTTCCAAAACTTATAGTGGAAGGTAAAGATAAAAACATTACCATTTTCCACATCATTTGAAATCACTAGTACAAATAAAAAGTTTAAGCTTACAAATATTTAAGTAAACTGTCATCCTATACAAAATTGTATTCATCATGAGCTAGTTAAACATTGTATGCATTCTCGATTTGAACTGTTGTCTCAAAACAGTATCCATCAGTTAAAGAGCACATTTTCAATTTAAATAAATAAAACACTCAATCCTAAACATGTAGATATTAAATAAAACGAAAAATTTTAGTTTTAACCACTTTTAATATTTTTAACTAAAGATAAAATGTTTCATATATTTTGCAGTAAGGAGAATTAGTAGTATCCTATTAAAAACATATCTTTTAAGACAATCATCTGCCATTACCTGTGCTTAACCTACAAATTGTTTTTATGTAAAGACATTTACCTTTAATCCACCTGAGTAATAAAATATTTGTTTAATATTTTAAATGGCTTGGAATTTAGCATTTTCATTTATATTTTCGAGTCTACATGTTTATAACGTTATTTTGCAAGCATATCTATTTTGTACAAAATATTCATTTCTAGGTAATGAAGCCTATTAATATAGAGAAATATAAAATTCTAATAAACCATATGTTGTAAGCTAAAAGTTACTTTCTATGAATAACTTTTAAGTAGATTGATCAACACATTAAACCTATAGTTTTACCATGAAAATTTTTTTTTTATTTGAAATAGTATCTTTTAAATTCAGTGTAAATTCTTTATTGTTCTAAACTTAAATTTGATGATAAGAGGAAAACTTATGTTCCCTTTCTTTAAACATATATTGATTTCTAATTAATATACTCTTGTTGTGTGAAATTGGTTCTCATACGAAAGGCATGGCCAGGTGGTTAGGGCACTTGACTCGCAATCTGAGGGTTGCGAGTTCGAATCCCTGTTCCACCAAACATGCTCACCCTTTCAGTCGTGGGGGCATTATATAGTTACAGTCAATCCCACTATTCATTGGTAAACAAGAAGCCCAAGAGTTGGCAGTGGGTGGTTTAACAATGCTAAATTAGGGACAACTAGTGCAGACAGCCTTCTCGTAGGTTTGCATGAAATTCAAAACAAATCAAACCATACAAAAGGTCATAGTGAACCATGAATGGACAAATGATTTGTGCAAAGGTTATTCTATGTTCTACCAATAAATATTTTGATAACCTGGTAAGGAATAGGTTTTATTGAACGAGGAACATGTAACTTAACCACTAGTTTCATTGTGTTAAAGTGACAAGGTAGCTTGTGTTTTAAAACGAGATTAGGACTGTCGCCAAGTGTTCGTGCTTATATTTGTCAATGACTTCATTTATGGTGTTAAGCTTTGTAGACTTTTGGCAACAATTATGAAATCTTAAAAGTATATATTTGTCTTGTATCAATAAACTGTGAATTTTCAAGCTGACCGTATGTTTTGTTTATTTGTATTTTGTCATTATTAACAAGTCTTCCAATGAAAGAAGAAAGTTCAAGACTTGTATAGCATGTCACGTTATGATGTAAAATAAATTTGTGATTATTGAATGCTTAAAATGTAGGTTTGCATATATATAATGAATATTATGATGTCAGTGTAAAAATAAATCTGTTGCATCTGAGAGTTCGTGATAATACAGTATCTATGTAACCAAAATAACAGTCACAAAACTAGTTTCTGTTGTTCAAGTTTAACACTGTATACATCTTTTTGTTTACAATTTGAAAAATATTCCTTTTAAAATTATCATAAAATTTGGATAGTTGCTTTTTAAACATTTACAACAGCAGTATTATAAAAAAAAAAATAATAATAACTTGTGTAAATCATGATAATTTAACCCTTTGGATGCTATCATCAGATTTATCTGACTTGACATTTATAGCCATTTGGTGCAACAAACAAATTTTACCCCATGGTGTCATAAAAACTCGTAGTGCAACAATTGGGATACTAATACGTCCTTCAATTTCCCATCTTACTACCACGAGTGCATACATCACCGAGCATATGTGCAATTAGTGAATAATTGAGACTTTCTGAGAACCCAAAATATAATTATAAACTGAAAGGGTTAATCAAGGACTTGGTTAGTGTGCTGTTTTCATGAAAAATATCTAAGGTTCAGAGAAACATGAATAAGCGTTAAATGTATTATCAATAAGAGTTTTTGTCATTCTGAACTGCAAATGGCTTTATTGATAAAGAAATTCTACAAATAAAAAAATATATATATTTATAGACACACACTCACAGATTTAGATAACAAACAATAAGGGTGATTACAGAATAGATTGTACTTACAAGTTTCTCTGCAAATTAAAAAGAACAATTTGTACAACTTTTATTATTAACATTAAAAACTTCCATTTCATTACAGTATTAGTTAATGATAAATTTACCAAAAACATCCCAAATTTAATTTTCTTAAGTTAATATAATTAAGCTTTGAAACCTCTTAATTGTGCCTTGTGTTAATGCACAGCTAAACTTGTACAAAACATAAGTATACAATTATAAACTGAAAATATATGTTAACATCAGTAAAACTTTTTCAGTCATTTCAAAAAGGTTTTTTAGTGGTTCACAATGTAAGCTAGTTCAAAGACCCTATATTAAGATGGTCCATTCCCTATCTTTACAACTGTAATAAAATTTGAAGTGCATCAAGTGGTTGTTAGTTTGATAACATCTATCAAGCTACCTTCTTAACCACACACCTTAACATGTTTTGAAATTTATAGCTTAAAATTTGTTTTTCTTTTTGATATAAAATTGTATGAAGTAACAGATCAAATAATCCAGTATTTGTGTATTGTTCATACTTTACTGTGTATTAGTCTAAATAAGTAGCCACATTCAAGGGTAAGTTATTTACTGTTTTTAAGCTTAGTATGGATATCTATGACACAGTGAAACTTTAATATAAGGGAAGAGATGATATCTATATACACACACACACATGAACACACAGATCCTTGAAATTGTTTATAGTAAACACACAAAGAAACACATTGTTATTCACAATAGACTGATATTTTTTATTGAACTTTTACAACAGGCATACATATCAGCATGTTTACAGTCATAAAATATACCATCAGAATTTATGAATGCAGGATTAACTTCACAGTAAATCATTTAATTTGATACACAGATGACAGTTACTGAATATAGTAAACTTTATAAATGGTTTAACTTCAAAATCTTACTATTCTGTCTATTGCCAAGACAACCTTAAAAATCAAAAATAGATGTTTTTAGGAGACAGTGCAATCTGATCTTCATGTAAAAAACGCTTTGGGTGACATCACATTTCTGTTCTATATTTGGCTAGATTTTAAACACTTGTTACACTAGGATACTGATTATACAACATGGAGGATTATGTTCCCCCTATCTGTTGGTAATGTTTATTTTACGACGTTACAATTGAATTATACTGTCTCTTGATCAACAAGTTTTACCGATGTGGTGAACTGCTGGGAAAGTAAAGTGGGGAGATGTAAAAACAAAGTAATTCTCATGATTTAAAATGAGCTTATTGCCATTGATAATTAGTGTGTGTATTAAACAGATAAGCCAAAACTGGAAATGATATTGCTCACTTTGTTAGCTACTGTTTATATAAACAGTATACATGCAGATTCTTTATATGGCAGCACAACTACTTGCCATTCACAGCATGATAGTCAGCCTGATTACACTTTTTGGGACAAGTGGATCATTTTAGAGATATGGGGTCTTTTGGCTAGCATTCCACCAAAACTAGATGGTAGTTTTAAAAATTAATTGAAAAAAAATATTTGTCAGATAAATTATTCTGGAAACTTTTTTTAAGAGTTAAAATAAGGTAACAAGTTTAAAAACTTATACAAAATAGTTTTAAGAACTTTTGTTTTTATTCATAAATAAGTTTCTAGAAGGTAAAGTGTTGGCATAGCAAAGCGAAGAATGTTTTGAAAAGGTAACAAATACAATACTGACACTGATGTTCTACAAGCATATTTTTACTCAATTGGCACATTTTAGTATAATTTTCAAAAATCCTAATGTGTCTTTTAATATTTAAAAAAAAATTATTTTCTGAGTAATTATTCATTTTATCATGAAAACGTTTAACGAAATTAATAAAATTTATTACATAAACATGTTTGCATCAAGACACAAGTAAGTACCAACTGAATCAAAAACATTGTTCAATAAATACATACAGTGTATGAATTATTTTACATAAATCTAAAAAAGTAAAAAATATTAAACTAATATTCATAGAATGCAACTGATAGAAACATTTACACACAGAGGCAAAGACTCAAGAATAATTATAGTTACATCTTACACTATAAATTGTTTAATCAGTGCTAAAAATCTACATTGTACTAGTTTTCATATAAGATTTACAAACTATATTTTCTTAGATGCCACAAGTACAAGAAATAGAAATTGAATGTAATACAAATTTTTCATAAAATTTTGCAATAAATGTTTTAACTCGTATTTAACTTAAACAGCTTCTTCAACATATCAGGAGTATCAAGAGACTTCTGTATGGGTTACTGCAATGGAACAGGACATAGCATTACCATGTATCAAATAGGCTCAACTCATGATGCACTTACTATCACGGTGTCCACTTTCCATGTTGTATCCATAAAAACTATCCAAGAATAATGATAAACTGTTTATAGTTTAAAAAACAAAAAAAAATGTTATGAAAATATACTTAATATTTTGTTCACAGTATTTTTATATTTTGTAAGTTTGAAGTATCAATCACTTTGAAACTTTGTTTAGTACTTGTCCAAATCTACTTCTATTTGGTACTTTTCATTTGTCTTAGGATCAACAAACATTAATGAAATATTAGTTTAAATTCCAAAAGAGTCTGATTCTATAAACTAAAATACACTGAAAATGTTTGAAAGTAGATGCTAAAAAATAGACTGGTGTATACGAAACATCAGTAAATAAATATTTTCATCTTTATCCTATTGCCACAAACCAAACTAGAACCCTTCCCCCAAAAAAAAGAATCAAGAAATTCAATCTTAAGAGTTGTGAGGCAAGCAATTTCAAAGTACGTTAGTTTAGAAAGTTATTTAAATTCCTGATATTCATTGAAGAGTCGCATTTTCATATAGAACAGAAAACATTTTAAAAATTAACATAAAATTTGTTATCTTATTTTGCTGTTTTATAATATATTAATCCCACTATTGGCTACCTTTTTTAGAAGTACATTCACGATAACATAAGAATTACAACTATATTTTTGGAACTTGTATAATGCTGTGAAAAATTAATTTTTTTGTAGGTAACTGTATTACTAAGGCTTTCAAGAGGTTGAAATCAGTGAGTCATTTAAGAGTTGTTCATGCCTACTAACTATCAATATCAGTATTACAGGTAAAGAATGCATGAAAAATTATCTTCACTTATGTTGAATGGTTATTAAGAAGATTATGAAACATTGATATAGAACAACAAACATGTTGGTAAAGATGTTTTCTTTACCTAGAGAAAATGGTGTTCTTCTAAAACATGAACACTGTCATTGAAATATAACATTTTTTTAATTACTGATTTTAAAGTATTTCCCCAAGTTAATTTAAATAAGCTATTCAGATCTACCATGTTAGTAATATAAATCTCACAAAAAAGCAATTAATATTGTTTTTTTCTGTTATCACAATAAAAGAAACTTGTGTGTATTAATATCTAACAACAATATCTCGAAGGTTGGATCACTATAGAAATTACAACACACTACAAGCATGCCGTAGCTATATACCTTACACTTACAATGAAACATGGTAGAGTGTTCATTTTTAGCATGATTTTTTCTAGAACTCTGCATGTATAGACATCTATAATGTTGAAGAAGTATTAATGTTGACAACCATGAAGTGTCTTTCAAATTTGCATACAAACCTTAACTTACAGACAAACCTGGTCTGATTTCATATAACTAATATTCAAGCTCTTATCAGGAACAAGTTACGATCACCACATGCTGTAGTCAACCTCATCATTGTCAAAGACCATAAAGACGCCCAAGATGGTTAAAAACACAACAATATTGCCAGACAGAATCAATCCACAAGCTCCCCACTCTATCTGTAAAGAAACAAAGGCATCTTTGTACTAGTACAAGTGCATTAATTACAGGCATCACTTTCCACTATAAGAATTGCCAAAAACAGAACATGCACAGAAATCTTATCACAAATGGAATTTTTAATATAATTAAGTAGTTACCTGTCTTCTTAATGTTGTTCACAAGCTTAAAAACAAACTTTAACTATTACAAGAGTTCTTAAGTAGATTGATTTAAATTTTGGCTATTTTTCGTTAAAAAATATTTGATACTGAAGCCTTAAATGTATTGTAAATGATAAGCTAGGCTCTTAGTCTAATGAAGAAAGTGGGTATTTCTCACTCTTAAAACATTACCAAAATTACAACTGACTATCAGATATTAAATACAGATGGTATATTAACAGCAATGGTTACCACAGGTTGCTCCCGCGGTGATCTGGCTAACAAAATTGGCAATCCAAAAGATGAGATGACAATTCCCGTTGTTATAAAGATACACAACTCTTTGCAAGCATTACTAGATCCCATATCATCATTAAAACGACGAGATATAATTGTAGGGAAAGGAGCAAGGATGTAAAATACAATGACAAACAGAGGCCACCAGTTGCTGAAACAGAAATAATGTTAAGTGTCAAAGTTTCTTCATACCTTTTTATAGATTCATGTTCACTCAGTAGCACTTTAGGTCATCCATACACTATATCATGGATATTTTTAAAGATTAACTTACTAATTGTACTGAAAAAAATATGAAAGAAATACTTCCATATGGATGAAACATCAACACAAAAATAGGTTTGAAATACGTAAACTGATCTTGCCCGTAAGTATATCAGTTTCTTGTTATTGTCAGTGAGATACAGGGAGAACTTAAATTGTTGTTACTATTTATGGTTTAATGGTGCAAGGCAGCAAGGCCATGTGTACCAAGAAAGATATAACAAGTAAAAAGGTAAGAAAAAAATTAAAATGGTAAAATCATAATAATTACAAAAGTGTGAGTAAGTGGTTGAAAAACTGATAAAAAATTAAATCTTGAAGGCCAAGGCCCTTAAAAAATAACATCAATTTTGCCATTTGCAATGACACTGTCTACAACCAAAAACAATAATATAACTAAAAAAATGCATTTAAAATCCTGTTGCTGCTGAGTAACAAGGAGATGGAAGGAAAACAAAGAGATGGACACTAGTTGGTCACATTTTGAGTGACATGTACCAATAAATGACAAATTAATGAACTTCTATATGAACTTTGCTTCTCCCTTATAATGTTTAAAATCCATGAATGGAATGCATAAAGACTCAACAGCAGCAGATGAGGTTACTTTTGTTGCCTTGTCAACAGAATCATTCCTCTTGACACCAATTCGTGCAAAGTATCCAGCAAAACTGGATGAGTAATGGTTGTGACAATAATGAAGCCAGTCTTGTACAAAGTTGAGTTTGCAAAACCCATAGTTCATTGAGGCACAAAAACATGCTGCCAAATGGATGCTTTAACAGGGATTGTTGCTTTGCAGCAAACAACAAGAATAGCTTACATTAAATATGGAATGCAAGTCCACAGGACTCATTATACAAGCTGTGTCCTACAGAAGTGCATAAGGCCCCTGTACAGAATCTAAGCCCCAGATGATACACAGGATTAAGCACTTTCCAACAGAATGTTTGGATCTACTTCAGCCAAAGATTTTGCCTTAAAAGTGCCAGGGGCAAAGCACAAACCAAACAAACACAGTCAAGCATCAAGCACAGAACAACTACCTGTTCCCTAAGGTGTTGAAGAGAATGTAGCAGTTCACGGACAAACCAAGAACACAGTTACCTGATCTCTATAACAACTATAGCTTAGGGGACATAGTATCTGGAAGGACAGGCACAGTGATTTATAGTGGAATAAAAGAGACAAGACTTAGTATGATGATGAAGTAAAAGTAAACAGTTTACTTGTTGGAGAAAACAAATGGGTAGAAAGGGTTACTGCATTGTGATACATTTAGTTGAATAGTAAAATATACTGTAATTACAAATAAAAATAACTTGCATTATCAGAATAAATAAGAAATAAAATGCAAATGAAGCTTCAACGGCAACTTTTGACCCCTTCAGGGCAAACTTAATCTCTCAAAAATGCTAAAATTGCATTCACAATTCAAATTCTCACTGGAGCTGACCAATCTGATAAGAAGGTCACATGAATCTGTAAGTATATTTGTTTTATGTAACAGTAATAGAACAATACTCCATGCACATAGTAAAATAGTTTACAATATAACTACCCAATAAAACAGTAGAGAAGTTTCACAACCAGAACTGGAATGCCTAGGGCTGAAATTAGCACAATCTCAACCAGATCTATTACATTTCAAATCAATTTTGCACATATAAAGTATTTCAATGCTTTCAGGTAGTTCATGGTTGACCTTTGCCTTCTGAAACTACATTGATTGTTGAAAAAGAGGTTATTTTATTTTATGATTGAGCATTAACTATTCTCTTCAGTGCCTCACAAAGAGTGTTAGCTAAGGCAATATGTCTATAATTAGGGAGAATAACAGGATCCTTCCTGAACTTTAGGAAAGGGTGTCAATAGCCTAGCTTCATACTTCAGTTGAAGTCATTTCTACCACACATGAACAAAGAACAGAACAACAAAAAGTATGCACAAGAGAGACGACACAGTATCTCATAATTGAAATTATTTACTCCAGTGGATGACTTGCCAAAATGATGTAATACTGACTGAAGTTCCATCTGATTAGTGCCTGTCATACGTCTTCCTGTCCATCAGATTAACATCTGAAAGCACTTCTGGCATGTGTCTTAATAGAAAAGAAGTCAAAAGGGCAACTGAAGAAGCTAGATCATTCAGAAAAAACATTTTCCAATGATTTAGTAATTTCTGGCAAATTAATTAATAACTGTCTATTATAACAGAACGGGAATATTAGTGATGAATTTAATTTACAAAAATCCCTAATACTGCCATCTGGTCCATCAAGCCTTATTCTTTGTTGAAGAGTGTGCTAACAGGTAGGAGTCCTACATATAGTTAAGATTAAAAAGGGAAGTATGTTGAGATCCTAGGCATCTATATGCAATATATAATCCAGAGTTGCTCACCTCTATGTTGTGTTGATGTTACATGTTGTTTTAAATAATTAGCTGAACCAATTTTAACTTTGGTAGTGAACACAGTTGGACACCCTTAGATCAAGATTAGATGGATAAGCAATCAGATGAATATTTTGAGTTTTGCCATTACTTCAGTTTTTAATATATGTAGCCAATACATATAAAAGTGACATTTAATGCCCTGAAAAAGTAGTTTTGCTAGTTGTAATTACATCTGTATGACAATGTGATCATTCACAGCCTTGTTAACAAACTGTTGACCAAAAATGGTTAAATCAAGTTCTGAAAAACCAGTTTCCACAATGTCTCTAACTCTAAGGCAAGGGGAACAGATGAAGACATAAACAGCAGTAAAAGCCTGACTTGAAGCATGGAAGTATATCATGGCACCAGAGTTTAGAAGGGAAAGAATATGATCTGAGAGTAGGCACTCCACAGATCTACCTCTCCCAATTGTTTCAACACAACTCCAGAACAGACTATGTTCAACAAAGTCTCCAAAATGACAAGATAACAACTGGTTTATGATATCTGGTTGATTAATAAATTCTCCAGGTGGCAGATACAAGTAAAAAAAAATAAATAAATCATACAGACAATAGTGATACAGATAACAATGAAGTATAAAGCAGTATGAGGATGGATGAAATATGAAAGCATCACCGCACATTGGACACACATCACAGCTCTCATCTTCTGCACTATCAGAAACTGAAATTAAAGAATGTATCCAACAGGGAGAGACAAGTTTTAGTTTGTTCCCTTGTTTTTAAGAGCAAAACCACATTGGATTATTTGCTGAGTCTATCACAAGGAATTGAACTCCAGATTTTTGTGCTGTAAGTCTGTAAGGTTACCACTGTCTCAATGGAGGATAAGAGACACACGTAGGTTGGAAAAATTGATCAGAACTTCAATATTGTCTAGGTAAAAATAAAAACCACAACATGTCCATTGCAAAAACTGGCCATTATCATACTGAAAACATAGTATGTCTAAAAGACAATTTTTTTGAAGTTTTTTCTTCACACCTGTTATTTTGGGAATCTGTTTTGGTCTTCGTGGGTCTTTCAACTGGAAGAAGAAGAAAAGTAGGTTTTCTCATAGAGCGATTCCAAAGAACAACATCAAACTACACACTGGCACTGCAAGCAGGAAGCAAATGCTCAACTGTTGTCAATAAAGCAATTATTTTAAGAATTTTGAATTTGAAAGCATGATGAATTTTCTAGCCTTGTATAAGACTGGTGATGTTTTATTTGAACTTATTGCATGCAGTTTTGGACCCCTCATTACAGGACAGATGACATCTTGTAAAAGAGTGCAGAGAACAAGTTTAAAAAGCTTTATATGAAAAATTTAAGTTTTGAGCTTGATTTTTTAGAGCACACAATAATTAAATGCAGCACTCAAAACTAGTGATAAAACCATCAGAGAAGAATGTGGCATTTTATCAAAACATTAAGTATAATGCCCCAAAAAAACTGTGATAAAAAATCCTGAAATGCTTTTTTCTTTAATTTTTTCTGTGAAAGATTAAGATTTCATACAAAACTACTGATAAATAACTATAATATTTAATGATACAATCACCTAACACTGCCTAATTTGAATATTCAGTTACCATTGATTTTAATGGATTACTGTAACAAAGCAAAGCAAACATCAAATTTGTAAAAGTTTTTATAGTTTTGAATGTGTAGGCCTATATATATACAGATATTTCTGAGTGATTATGAAAAGCATTGCCCTTCTTTCACAAGTGAACTATTTACTAAAAATGTTAATTCCCTGCCTAGTAGCTTTTACACTTTATTATGTTAATTAATAAAACAGTTGTTTTAGTCAAAATGTGATTCAAAACCAGAATTAACATGCACTCTGTCAAAATATTTTAGTGTGAGTGCAATTGCACATTGGATTATTTTATTATTGAAGATGACAATGAAATTTGTTACTTAAAATTTACAATAGTTTGACATGCTTTAGTTACTTTGTTGGAAGAATGAGAAATATCAATGTCTGAAAACAAACCTGTTAGGACTATTTCACTGCACTTTATTGCATTAAACAATAAAAGTTTCATTTTGATTTTGACTTGCTAGGGATGTTAAATATTGTAGGGGCAGAAAGTAGATGTCTAAGGTTTAATGTGAAGGGCTGCTTCTAATTTTAGATTTAATCAAAAATATTTAATCAGTATATAAAACAGATGCAAGTTTTAAATTTTCTACCTAGGTTAGGGCACTCGCTTTGTACCCCACTCGAGTATTAAGTGTCTTTATGTGGAAGAATATATTCACAACATATTATGGCATTTGCCATGGTATTGTTCTAAATTAATGCACTTACAGAGGATGTTTTAACCATGGACTGCACATCCTCACTTCAAGGACTGTAAATTTGCCTTAATTTATGTTCTAGAACATGTTAAATGTCAGGACAATTTTTCTATGGCTGATATTTTTTCAGTGGTGAAATGAGGACTAATGGGTACGCATACAGTGAATGTATACAGAATTCAACATTCACTGGACACATAAATAATCAACAGGCAAATAAATCTTGGTGATGCATCCACTGAAAAGTCCTTACTTGAAAATCAAACTATTTTTTTATCAGCTGCATATTTTTAAATGTAATGTTAAAAGTGTTTACCACAATATTATCTACTACTAAATATATCTCAATACAACCAAACTTGAAAAAGAACATAGATAGCAATAATTGTTAGAGTTTCACAAATTGCACATATCCACTGAAGAAAATATTTATGTAAATGCACAACAATTTTTTTATGTTTGCCTTTTCTGTAATCTCTGTATACACACACACACACATATATATATATATATATATATATATATATACATATAAACTCTAAAGACACAGTTAATTCTAAAG